AGTCATTTTGAGAATGGCTGAAGTCTACAGCAAGTTTGATGGATCTTACTATCTGAATTACCCTCCAATGTATTTTAATTCAAGTCATGTTAGACTATATTGAGGGGACTACCATTGGTATAGATATGCTTTGCCTGACTATTAAAATAATTTAAATTCAAGTTTATTGCTTGTCGTTGTCGTTATTGTTGTTGGCAGTGTTTGTGTTCGGATCTTGATAGGAAAAGGAATTTTAAAAGGGTCTGCTTTTCATATTCGTTCAAAAATGAAATATGAATGCTCGATCCGAGGTAAGGCCAAAGCCAGGGTAATAATATTTTTGCATTGCCCTTAGGGAGAGGAGAATAATTATTGTATGTAATTTCTCGCACTGTGAAATATGTATACAATGTTTGCTTGCTCACTCGCAAATAAAGAGATCGAGATTTCCCTTTTTAAAACGGAAAGTAGGTCTCCCCTCCCACTTTGAAAGATGCTACACCTCCCCTGGTCTGTTTTCAATAATTTCCAATAGTCTAGTTGATTCAAATCCAGATTCAGAAGATTTTTTTCCTCGGGTATTAGAAAGTATTATTCTTCCGAAAAGTCCGCAATGAACATGAACAAGAGACCTGCTACTCGATTCATTCAATATTTTCAGGCCGTGAACGGTTCATATATCAAATATTCTACCTTTTCACTGATACGGCGTTTGATGAAGCAGGGTCCCAATGCAAACCGGCTGTTATTCACATTTATATCATTCTATTTAATAAGTGCAACGGTGCCTATCGATTGTCATATTTCTTTTCTTCTTGCTTGCTAGTCTTGTGCATCGAATGCCTGGATGTAATGGAGTTGCTATAGAAACTGTAAATACGCAGTAGTTTGAAGTTGGAAGATAAGCCACTCGGCGCCATCGTGATTGCGTCTGAATCATAAATTAGGAGAAGATATTGATGAATTCTTCTACTTTCGACAAATTTTTCATTATCGAAGGAGTCTCTACGCTGTCGACGTTCTTTCGGAATTATATTACGAAGGTAAGAATAGCAGCTGACGTCTAGCTTGTGTAGGATTATAGTGTGCGTCGCTGTCATGTGTTATTAACAATTTGGGACTTCAAAAACGGAAGTGAGATATAAATGTAAACGAGAATAAATGAGTGTATGTCGTTTGGGGTGTATAAGTGTGTAAGAGGAAGTGTTATAAGCGAACAGGAGAAACTGGAAAGTGTTAGAAAGAGCAAGCTAGAGGCAGACTGAAGGCAACAACCTAAGTCTTTTCGATATAGTATAGAAACCAGTCCCAAAATGCATTCCCTATCCACACAGGCAGAAGGGATGGGGAGGGGAAATGGGAGGGGGATAATTCCAAGGATTTTATAGAGAGGAGGGAAAATAGAGAAAGGATTTTGGGGTAGATTTTGTGTTCTAATAATGGAAACAATTCTCCTCCTGTTCGCTTATAGAGGCAGCAGGAGAGGAGGAAGAGACGCTGCACAACCTGTGAAGCTTACGCCTGTAGGAGAAAGCTCGTTGAGGTGGAGGAGGAGAGAAATATAATATCGGGGGGTATCTTGCAGGTGCTGAGGGAGCGTTTGCCTATAGTTTAAAATTGTTTTCCATTGTTATTTCGTTGTGTTTTGTTCTTCAAATTATGCACAGGAAACCTTTTATCTTTTAGACTTCAATGTCAGACACTTGAAATAAGTGACTGTTTTTATTTCTTTCTTCATAACACAAATCAAATAAAACAATAATCAGCTTCTTGTAATGGCCCAAATGGCACCATATGCGTCATACTTTAAGCCTGCAACAGGGATACTTCACCTTCAAGAGAATTTTGTAGATGGTATTACCTCTTGTTTACCATTCGATTTACATACGTTTATATTTCAGCAAGCAAAAGGGACACACCACCTTTAAAAGTAATACACACTTCTTTAATCATTGTATCTGTCTGACAATCTTATTTCATTGAGCCAAATACTTTAATTATTAACCTCGATATTTCGGGTAAACATAAAGCTCTATAATTTTCTTTTGGGGAATTAGGTCATTTTTAAGCCAAACAAACACTTAGGTAATGTCAGATAAATACAACAATTGTGTTGAATTATTCTTAAGTTTTTCCTGTGCATCAACCAATGATATGTACAACTCCAATCTTTGACATAGTACAGAAACTCTTTAATACATTGTCTTGATTTAAACCGTGGACTTGCTGTCTTACTGACATTTTGATGCAATAATCCTGGACGGAATTTACATTATTGGATATTTATATTATGTTTTCTTTAATATTATCTATTTATTTATTCTCCTCATACACATATTAAATTATGTAATTTTTTTATTGTGACATTTACTTGTAACTTAAATTGTTGTATGTTTCAATACCAATGTAAATTATTCTAAATTGAGTTTTAATATTTACTGCCTTAAAGTCAGTGCTATAAATATCTGAAATATACGTGTTACATAAATCGGAATTACAAGTGTACTGCGTAATATTTTAGTGTCAATTTTTATTTCGTGAAATTTAAGTAGAAATTCATCGATTGTAGTATACCATGAGAGACTTTACTTTCAAAGCCTTTTCTGCTATAGACAATTCTGTAACTATCATCAGTAATTCTTCATCTGTATAGCTTCCAATTCTGATGAAATAGTTTGACAACTGTTCAGTAAGGAGTTTAGACAAAGAAATTGTTGATTATTTCATTTCGAGCGATACGTCCGTCGTCCTCGTCTGAGTGGCCTGCCTTGTGGCTGTATTGCACCCAATAAACAAAACACTAAAAAGTAACCTCTTTTGGGAGTGTATTTTAAGTGATGTTAAAGTATGGTGCCTTTTGAACTAGATTTAAACGTTATCGACACGTGCCTTCATTTAAACAAAAAAGGTACTCCTGTTCACGTTTTCATCTAACCTAAAAACCACCAATTTATCACGCGACTGAAGTAACGTGATTCCACTTACCTCTGTAAATCAAGTGTTTATGACCAAATAACCACTTGACCAAGCAACGAGTTTTGTGTCCGTTAACCGATGGTGGTGATAAATATGTAATTATTTGGTCTTTTAAGCACCTTTATTGATAGGTTTCACAGGTTATCCAAGGTTGATGGTAATAATCACGTTACTTACACCGGCTAATCGTCTTATTGTTCTGTCCGTGAATCTCTGGTTATATTAAATTAGCAATTATGAGGTGTCTTACACACCTCTTTAAATGGTTTCAAAGTTACCATCAATTTCTTGGTTATGATCACGTGGCTCACGCTGATTACTAATCTAAGCTGTGAATCCGTGATATTTAGGTGTGAAAATAAGTAATTATTAGGTGTCTTAAAACACCTTTTTAAATGGTAGTCAAGGTTGCCATAAGTTCCGCGGTGATAATCTCGTGACTCAAACGGATTATTAATCTAAGCTGGGCATACGTGACTCTTAGGTGTGAAAAATTAGTAATTATTAGGTGTCTTAAAAAACCTTTTTAAATGGTTTCAAAGTTACCATAACTTTCTTGGTGATGATCACGTAGTTAAAACTGATTACTAATCTAAGCTGTGAATCCGTGATATTTAGGTGTAAAAAAATTAGTAATTATTAGGTGTCTTAAAACAACTATTTAAATCGTAGTCAAAGTTGCCCGCAGTTCCGCGGTGATGATCTCGTGACTCAAACGGATTATTAATATAAGCTGGGTATTCCGTGTTTTCCAGGTGTGAAAATGAGTTTCCCAGTTACCATTTAAGTTCCGTGGTGATAATCCCGTGACTGTTGGCATATTTCTATGTTCACCAGTTGATAAATGACTGTTGGCATATTTACATTGCACCAGTGTGTGCATATTTCCAGTTGCACCAGTTGATGACTGACTGTTGGCATATTTCCAGTTGAACCAGCTGACACCAATTAATTTGCATATTGAATATGGGGTGCGTGCAGATCTATGTTTTTTAAACAATTTATCTGAATTTACAGCATATTTCTTAATTACTGATGATTTAGTTAAATGCAATTCATTTCGAAAATACTACAAATATAAATTACCAGTTATTAGGACATTTTGCTACTGCGTATAAATTACATTTAGTTAAACATGAATAAGGGAAACATTAACTATGAACTAAATAATTTCAATAAAATACAAGTATATGAAAAAAATTCGATTAATTAAATTATGTAAGTCTACTTATTACCAATGCCTTAACATTGGAAAAAACAGACGTACCAGTATTGAAGTGTTGTTGCTGTTCAACTTGTTGGAAGTTTTATCAAATGGTTCTAATGGCTCAGCTAGACCAGTTGAATTCTAACTGGCCTGGATCAACTGGATCATTTAGCCCATTTCAATTTCCAGGGTTACCAGTTGGCATTAACTGGTTCATCAACTGGACCAGTTGCAACTAGCTTTCTCTTCTGGGATGTTTGCACCCCCCCCCCCCCCCCCATCCCCTCTTATCCCAAACTGCTTCCGGCGCGCCTGGACGTAATTATGGAAGATCCAAGACACGTTGTTCAGAAACGGGAAGAGAACGTCATTATTTTGGTTCATTTATTGTGTAACATTTGCGTAATTATTGGGTTGAATGCGGGTTACAGTAACATATTTCCTCTTCGACGTAAATTTCACGTGAATGAAGAACATGATTCATCTCAAGTCAGCCTCGTAATATTCACGTGAATTTCACGCAGATATTTTGACTAAAACTATCACCAACGCTTCACGTGTTTCTGTGACGCGATAATTTCGTTTATGAAGATGTAATTTCATAACCAAACAAACACGGGAGTATTAGGTTTACAAACCATGGTCTCCAAGGTAGGGATAATCACGTTATTATAATGGTGATATTGCAGTGACAATTGCGTGATTTAGTGTACGTGTGTTTTGAGTTACCTAGTGCAATAAACGTATTAACACATTTACGTAAATGTCCGGTGTTTGAAGAACGTAACTCTCCTCAAGTCAATACCTTGATATTCACGTGATTTTCACGTGATTTTATTTATTGGGCAGCATTGTCTTCATCCTCTGGCTCGTTGTAGAGCTTATGCAGATTGAACAGGACACAGCATGCAACTATCACGTCACAAGCTCTTGATGGGATCAGGTTTAGTCCTCGGCCAATGAGGCACTGAAACTTGTTCTTCAGCTGACCATTCACCATCTCTATTTTCACTCTGGTTCTCACATGTGCACTGAAACAGAAGGAAAACAAAACATACAAAGGTGAAACACATGTTGTACTACCAGTCAATCCTCTTCCTATTTTGTGATATACAGTGTACATGTAGTAGAAGTAGTAGTCTCCTACTACGGTACTTCTAGCACTTTTACTATTAATTTCTTCTTCTTCTTCTACTACTACTACTACTACTACTATTTAATATTACACTATCACTTTTTCTACTCCTACAGCTATGTTTTAACTGCAGCTTTTGCTTCTTTCCTTGTTTCTACAGCATGTCATTGCACTTTGTTTTATTTAAAAATAATCTTATTCACAAGTTGAGCACTTACCTGTTGTATGCTCTATGTTCTTGAGTGTCATGGTTGATGACAGGGGTCATCAGCCAGGGAAGCAACGGGTATCCCGAGTCGCCCAGCAGGATTCCTCGGAATCAGCGGTTGGCAAATGCTCGCCCTAGCCTGCTCATCCTGATGATCCTTGCATCGTGTGTTGCACCTGGCCAATTTGCCACCACATTTGTAATGTGGTACTGGTGGTTGCACACCAGTTGCACGTTGATACTGTGCCTGCTTTTTCTGTTCACATACTGTGGCTCCTGGCGACGCCCCAAAGTGCAAGCATGTAGTTGTACATGTCGGCGGAGCAATTGTCGGCGGAGCAAATGTCGGCGGATCAATTGTCGGCGGAGCAAATATCGGCGGAGCAATTTTCGGCGGAGCAATTGTCGGCGGAGCAAATGTCGGCGGAGCAACTGTCGGCGGAGCATTTGACGGTGGAGCATTTGACGTCGGAGCAAATGTCGCGGAGCAAATGTCGCGAAGCAATTGTCGCTTTTTGCGAAGCATTTGTCGGCGGAGCAATCGTCGGCGGAGCATGTGTCATGGAACCGTTTTGAGAATGTGCTTATTTATAACCCGATGAGGATTGTTTTTCCTCTTTATAAGATGTAGTTTTCGCACTGCGACCTCACAATCTTCTTTTTTTTCCTCGCTCGCTGTGCTCGCTCGCAAATGATTTTGTCGATCATCACACCCAACTGCAAGGTATGATGCTTAAGCAATATTTTATACCATGTATAAAGAGAAACAAATATTGAAATCGTCCCTGAAAATGTAATCATATTAAAGGGGTATATACCAATTTTAAAAAAATTGTATATCGTCGCTTTGAGATTTCCCTATGTAGATGCCCTTTTTTTCTCCAGAAAGTGCCCTTTTTTAGTTGGTGCCCCCCTCCCCCCACACTTTGGAAGTCGCTCCGCCGCCTCTGCTTCATACACACAGCGCATGGTGAGCGTGTATAGGCATAGGCATAGGCTTGCAAATGTTTCATTTGTTCTCTAGCATGTATACCGTGTGAGTCAAAAACAAGTTTACACCTAGAAAATTATTTAAAAAAAATATCTATGAACAGTAAAATATTATACATTTTATGAAAGATTGTTTTATCCCAAATAATTTGGTATTATTTTGTGTAGTATGTGTTCACGCTTGGATGAACAGGTGGCATTGTTTGCCAGAGTGCAAAAATCGACTTGCTGCCTGCCGTAGCAACAAAAAGAATTGACAAAAGACTTAACACCGTTTCGTTGACAATCAGCCATGCATGAGGACCTTTTTTCTACGGCTGATCTTCAACGAAACGGAGTTAAGTCTCTTGTCAATTTTGTTTGTTGCTACGGCAGGCAGCCAGTGAAAGCGAAGTCGTTTAATCATAGACCTACTACAAATGGACACTGATCGGTATCATAATACATGCATGCACCTGACTCTGTCAAAAGTATCATAATGACATTCCAAACATGCTTCCAAGCTTTGATCTCGTCACGACCGCCGACAGTCAGCCATCCAAAAAACAGAACTTTGCCTGGAACTCTAAAAAAATGCCTGCGCAAAAGAAGCTGAATCGCGTGAAATCATGGATATGTATGTGCATTTGTGGCGTACATATGAATATTAACGTATATGAAGTTTCCATTAGAAAATTAGAAGTAGTTTATAAGAGAAACCTGTAAATTTGGCTGTAACACAATGATTTTAAACTTCATTTCAAAACTTATCTTATCCATTTCCAAGGAATATAAGGTAATACGACAGTAAAGAATATGTATTTTTCAAAGTTTTGCAAGTCCAGATGTATGTGCACCATGCAGTGTCCACTTCTATATTAATCAATCTGATATCACACAAATTGTCATAAGTTAGGGTTCACTACTCCTCTAACTGGTGTTAAATCACGATACTTTACCTGAAACTACACTCTGGATCCTGGCCAAGCGAAAAGTATCTGAAGAAATGTAAAAGTTCTTTTGTCAGTGATGTTGCGTGATTACATAATAAGCATTGTCGCGTCAAATAAATGTCCTCATCAACATACACATTATCAGGTGGCGGTTGTAATGATGTGATCAAAGAAAGACTCTCATTACTAGTCCATCTGTACTAGGGTCCATGGTTTAATAAGATCCTTGGTACGAATTCCATAAATGAGACGATTAAGGAAGTCTGATATCACAGCTGCCTGGGCAGCGAAATCCAGCTGTAGTATTTGAAACATCTTTTAGCAGTAGTCAACTGCTGCTGTCAATGAAGAGCATGAATAGGCGCTTCTCTCGAGAACTACATAACACTGTCCAAGCTTCCTTGGTGTTCCTCAAAGCAGCAATAGGGACTTTTAGAATGAGAATGAGTGGACGAGAACACGACGAACGCCAACTGACCATGCGTGTCAACGTACTCAACTGCCCATGTTGACTTCAATTAGAAATCTTTTAGATTGCACTCAACGATATACATGCATGCAGGAAGTAACACAATATGGGGCCAGTCACCACGAAATGAGTCCAGTGTCGCATTAGGCTCAATCATAGTAATAGCGATGTATAGTGTGTATGTACTGAAAATTGACCCACCTACCACATTTAAGATTTTTCCAAAAATCGACTTATTATTTCTTTGTTTGTTGAAAGTTTCATTGAAATCGAATGATGGGAAGTGTGTTGTTGCTATGTTGTTTTTGACCAGACTATAATATGTTACGCATCATTAACTTTACACCTAATTATCTCAAAACTGGGTAATCCCATTGTTATAAAGTCCAATTAGGTTTTTGTTCCTATTTCTGGATATAATTTATTAATTTTAATGTGTGACCCCTTTTTAATTTAAAGCTTACTTAATGTAGATTCATATAATACTTAAAAACAGGAATAAAATTTTTGACCAACTGGACTCATTTCGTGGTGGCAGGCCTCATATGAACATGACAGACAAAGAAAGAGGACAAAATATACAGTTCCTCATTTGACTCTCAACAATAGGCCATTTTCGTAATGTAACCAAATTTAATGCATAGGTCTTTGTAAAGTGCCTCAATACAAATTATTTAATTCACCTGATAGGAATAATAGTATTTCAATAGTCAGAATGCAACTGCATATATTAAGTGTTGCTAGGTAGGTCAAGCCATAATGTTTGTCCAACCTAGATGGCAACAACTATAATGTATGCAGTTAGGATTCTGTCTATTGAAATACTATTATTCCTATCAGGTGAATGAAATAGTTTGTATTGAGGCACTTCACAAAGGCCTGTGCATGAAAATTTGGTTACGAAAATTACGAAAATGGCCTATTGCTACGTGGTAGAACATCCCTTCACTGCTATTATGTACAAATGTGTAGAACAGGTGAACATGCATGTGACACCTGTTCTACACATGTTTACATAATAGCAGGGAAGGGATGTTCCTTTGTCTACCTGAGGAACTGTATATTTTATGTGCACGCGGCATATACTAGTACCGTACTAGATTTAGAAAAATCAAGGCTGACGCATTCTCGATCGCCGACTGAGACGACGTGACGCATGCGCAGTGCCTTAAAATGTCGTCACACGTTGCAGTCAAGGCTGTCAACGTGCAATTCTAAAAGTCCCTAATAAAAACAGTTGGCTACTTCCTCTGAAGGAGGCCAGAAAAAATTCCAAGCCAGTTACTTCCTAAAATGATAACATTTGGATAGGTAGTTGACACGGTAGGAATTAACAAGGTACAGGTTAATATGTGCATTAAGTTTCGATATGATGATAACAACTTATTGGTTATGATAAAATAAGATTGTCTTATTCGGAGGGAAGTTGTCCTACTCCGAGTCCTAGGGGGTAATTTTCCTCTGGGGTGGTTGTCTTCAGGGGGTTATTTTCTGGGGGGGGGGGGTGTTACACCCACAAATGTAATAATGCCCACAAATGTAATAACGCCCACAAATGTAATAACACTTTACCTACAAATGTAACAACACCCACAAATGTAATAACACTTTACCCACAAATGTAATAATTTCACCCACAAATGTAATAACCACTTTACCCACAAATGTAATAATTTTGATTCACCCACAAATGTAATAATGACTTTACCCACAAATGTAATAAATTTGAAGGGATATTTTGTCGAATTTAAAACTAAAACCCTGTAATAAAGCATGGGTATAGCGCGCAGTCTTTGCTCCAGACCCGGTTATTTCAAAACATTTAAAAAATCTTCAAAACTAAGACCCCACCATCTTCCAAACTTAGACCCGGTAATAAAGCATGGGTTTAGAGCGTAGTTTTTCTTCCAGACCCGGTTATTTCAAAACTTTTTTTTAAAAATCTTCAAAACTAAGACCCCATCATCTTATTCCTGTGGAAGAACGTGTGTGTGTGCGTGTGTGTGTGTTTTATTTTTACAGACGTGTGTCAATCAGATATGATTATTTACGTCTCAGGACCGACCTTTAAACGTCATCATCCGAAAGACGTGACTCAGTTTCGAACCTGCGTCCTTGGCTGAATCAGTTTGTAACTTCCACTGTTAGCTGGATTACAGGCGCACGCCACAACGCCTAGTTGTGCGTAGTCTTTCCTCCAGACCCGGTTTTTCAAAATTTAAAAAACAAACAAAAAACAAAACAAAACAAAACAACAACAACAAAACTTTTAAACTAAGACCCCTTCATCTTCCAAATTAAGACCCGGTAATAAATCATGGGATTAGAACGTAGTCTTTACTTCAGACTCGGTTATTAAGAAAAAAAATCTTCAAACTAAGACCTCACCATCTCATTCCTGTGGAATAACATGGGTATAGAGCGTAGTCTTTCCTCCAGACCCGGTTATTTCAAAGGAAATATAAATTTAAACAAATCTTCGAAACTAAGACCCACCATCTTATTCCTCTTTTTTCACTTAAAAATAAATTACTTTATTACATATGTGGATAAAACACGTCACAAATAAATGATTGGTCGGCGGTCACACAAACTGACGAATCAGTCAAAATGGTCCATATATATAACACACAGAGGAGGGACCGATTCGATGGTTCGTTGACCGTCGACGTTTTCTTAATCATGTAAATATTCTAACGCCCACAAAT